AAGATAAGAATGAATAGCCTTAGCCTTTTGTATTTTTGGTGTAAACAGGATATGAGGGGGATATAGAACTCTTTGTTGATTTCATAGGCAATTTGTAATCTCTCATGGGATAGGTTTTGATATGCTCTGATGAGATTGTAAGTGACCTATGCTCATCATTTTCTGATGATGAGACTTTTGTGAATACACAGTTACCCTTATCTCAAAAAAAAGAGACTGGATAACCAAACCATTTAAAATGGGTTGGGTCAAAAGAATAACCATAAATTTATTCTGCCACCCTTAGTAGTGCCTACTATTGAATTGTTGACTTGGGTATTGGGAGGAGAAGTAGGTCTCCTGCCAACTACGTATTTAGGAATGCCCTTGGCAGCCAAATCAAAGCCCAAGAAGATCTGGAATTCTGTGATTGAGAAGTGTGAAAGAAATTGACTAGGTGCAACACTTAGTACTTATCTCTAAGGGCAGGATCCGCCTTATAAACTCAGTACTTGATGTGCACTGCCAAATTACATGATGTTCTTTTTCCCCATTACAACTGGGGTTATTCAGAGGAGTGACAAGCTTAGGAGAGATTTCTTATGGCAGCAATAAGGAGAAAAAGGGGTTTCTTCTAGTCTAGTGGAGCAATGTGCTGCGTGGAGAGAGGCAGGGTAGTTTAGGCACTAGGAATTTAAAGTTGCAGAGTAAGGCACTCACAATGAAATGGCTTTGGAGATACCCTTAGGAACCCAGGCTTACTAGGCTTACGGGGGAGGTATAATCAGAGCTAAATATGGTGAAGATAATAGGTGGATCTCAAAGGAAGTTCTTTCTCCTTATGGAGTGAGTATATGGAGATCTATACGAACACTCTGAGGATCACACTACTATCAGGGTGTTGTTTAATGGGTGGATGACATCATTTTGGGAGGATAAATGGTTAGGTAATTCTAGCCTTAATGAACACTTTGTAGGCATTTATGCTTTGGACTTGCAACAAGAGAAACCGGTAGATGAAGCATGGTCTCCTCAGGGTTGGAATTTCAGTTAAGAAGGAATCTAAATGATTGGGAAATGGATACATTAGTAGAATTTTACAAAAAAAATTTAAGAGTTCAAAGGGACACAGGAGAGTGCTGACAGACTATGGTGGAAAGAAGATAATATAGGACTTTTCAGGGTAAGCTTGACATACAAGTTGTTGAACCAGGACAGCCAACCGATGATCAATTGGCTAAGGAAGCACATTTGGAAAGTGAAGGTACCTATTAAGGTTACATGTGTTTCACCTGGATGTTATCCAAAGAAGTGGTTTTGACTCATGACAACCTTAGGTTTTTTTTTCCTGAAACTGGTAACTTGTATTTCACAGCATTAAGGATATGTTGGCCACATCCAAGAAATGAGCTACAAGGAGAAATTAATTCTAAAACTCCTAAGAAGTCCACTGTCCAGTTTTCCTCTTTTATACACTGTTCTTTAAACCATAAACATAATGAAGTAATACAATTCCATTTGATCTTTTGGGTGTAGTTAGATTTGCCTTTAAAAATCCTTTTATTTCTCTCCTTCCATATGTCCCCACCAGATGCAGGCTGGTACTGTTTTCACCACTTTTTTTGACTCTTGCTTCCACCCCTTCCGATTCAACAGTTCAATAAGTTTGCAATATGCTCTGGTATTGTCGATTACTCCCTAGCCAACAAAAAATGCCCAAATTTGTGATGTTACCTTACAGTATAAGAACAAATATTTGTTAGTTTTGCTGCCTCCTGACAAAGAGCACATGTAGATGTTATCGGGACTCTCCTCCTCTGCAATACTTCATGGGTCAGACGTTTTTTTTAATGACCATGAGTGAGACATGTTTTCTTCACCACCAACTCATGATGACCTTAGTAAGAGAGCAATTTATATATATTCATGGTGTTATTTGTGTGGTGAAGAAGGTAATCCAGTTCGTCATCTATTCCTAAATTGAAGGATAACAACATGCTATGGAAGATTTTCATTAGTCTAAGAGGCATTGCTTGGACAATGCCACGGAAGATTATTGAAGTCTTGTTTAGCTTGGAAGAGGTACGGTGATACCTCCCGGGGAGAATCACACCCCAAAAATTAGATATTCAGGTGGAAGAACCCAAGGCTATCCACCGAGTTTAGAAGGCTGTGATTGGTCCAAAGGGCGGGTCACAGACGGATTTCTCGGTTATTAAAAAAAAAAAAAAAAGAACCCAAGGCTATATAAACCCAACATCAATACATTAGTATACTGATGTCGACTCAAGTCTCATACCTTGCAATGAACCATAACAAATAATCACACGCTGCATCTGTAATTAGGTGGAAGAACCCAAGGCTATATAAACCCAACATCAGCACATTGCTATACTGATGTAGGACTGAAGTTGCATACCTTGCAATGGACCATAACCAACCACCAAGCTCTGCATGACGATGGCTCCACACTGGGTAGATTTTGTTCTACCACAAGTAGGAAGCTCTTTTCCAGGTAACCATTTTCAAGTCAGGCTAGCTAAGTAGCCTGTGTTTGGCTGTACGCTAAACATTTCTAGCTACGGGCGAACACTGCAATACCGACATCACCATCCATGGCACAGTGGCCACGGAGGGTGGTGGGTGGCTTTGATACCATTGATACAACCTAGGGAGAATCACACCTCAAAAGCTAGTTATTGAGGTGGAAGAGCCCAAAACTATATAAGCTCCATATCAGTATATTGCTATACCGATGAGGGACTCAAGTCCCTTAGCAATGTCTAGCTGCACAGCAAGCCACATGCACCTGACTCAAAAATTGCTACATGGAAAAGAGCTACCTACTTGTGGTAGAGTGGAAGCTACCCAGTGTGGAACCATTGAGGACAATATATGCGGAGTGTGATGGATTGTTATGGTTCATTGCAAGGTACAAGACTTAAGCCCCACATCGATATAGCGATGTATTGATGTGGGGTTTATATAACCTGGGCTTTTCCACCTCAATAATTAGCTTTTGGGGTGTGATTTCCTAGGTTGTATCAATCGTATTAGAGCCAAGCACCACCCTTTATGCCCACCGTGCCTTTAATGAGGATGGTGGTATTGTAGTGTTCACCCGGGGCTAGCAATGCCTAGCGCACACAAGCACATGGGTATCTGACTCAAAAAATGAGTACATGGACAAGAGTTACCTACTTGTGGTAGAGTGAAAGCTACCCAGTGTGGAGCCATAGAGGACAATGGATGCGGAGTATCGTGGTTTGTTATGGTCCATTGCAAGATATGGGACTTGAGTCCCATATCAATATAGCAATGTACTGACGTGGGGTTTATAGTCATGAGCTCTTCCACCTCAATAGCTAGCTAGCTTTTGGGATGTGATTCTCCTTGGGTTGTATCACAGGAGATGGAACTTTAAACAGAGATATATGGATGATTGTCCCAGCTTGCAAATGGCGGACAATTTGGAAAGAAAGGGATTCCAGATGTTTTGAAGACAAATGCAATACAGTACAAAAAATCAGGCTTTTTAGCTTTTGGTGTAAACAGAACCACGTAGAAAACATTGCTTCAATCATAGATATCCAGATTTTCGTTAGGTTTCTGGAGCATATTCTTTCATTTTTCCCTTATAAATATGGTCTCAACACAACTTTGATATTGTTTTGATTAAATATACACAAATGTTACTTTCTCAAGGAAAGAAAATATTTAATTTCAAGGATATCAACATTAGTGAACACTTCATCAAAACATTGCGGTAACAGGTACTTTATGCTCATAAGTCATTGTTGTAATTTTTGATAGACCATAAATTACTTTTGGTAAGTTTCATACTAGTTTCCTGTTGTTCCTACCTTTCCTAGTGGGTAAGTCTCTTAGAAAGTGCCCCATCAAAATGTTCTTATTGAAATCGTAAGGTCAAGTGAAACAACTTTATCAAGTAGGCTCAGTTTATTTATATTATTTTTTAACTTTCAACGTCTTGTTATTGTTGTTAAAATGCATGATGGATTTTCTCCTGGATTTTTACTTACTCCTAAGATTCAACTGGTAATGAAGTTCTGAGCAGCTCAAGCTTTCAATCCTCTTCATATTCAAATTGCATCACCCAAAATCCACTCCCCCATTCCAACGAGGTGCAGTGAACAGGTACATTTTCCTGCATCTATTCATTTTCAGGTACATAGGAAGCATACTGATTTAAGCGGTACATCCCCTACGTTGAACTTTAAACCCAATTGCAGAAAGATCATGAGGATATATGGAAATTATCCTCTCAAAAACTATTGTAGGTCGAACTAGAATTTCAACTCTCACACAGCATCATCAAGATGCTTCTCCAAAAATCCTCTGAGCGCATTTTTAGCTTTCTCGTGTTCTCACTTTTCATTTAGGTCTAGAAACAGTATGAGTGGCACTATTCGAGTTCCCTGCATCTACACTGCATAAATGTTCCTTCAAATTAGTTATCGCATTTGTATTAAGCCATAAGCTAATCTGTTGCCAGAGAGTCTATATCACTTGCTTTGAGTTTTTCCATCTTAGGTAAGCTGTAGGCAATGGATGGTATTACAGATGTTTGGTGGATCAGGAAAGTTTATAATCAAGTATCTTCAATGCATTTGCAACCATATTTATAAATTGTGAACCTATGTCAAGGTCTGTCAGACTCGGAGCATACTTGAAAACAAATGAAACGAAGAAGAAGAAGAAGAAGAAGAAGGGGGGATCAGGACGGTTTATCACCTTAAACAGACTGCCTTTCTTGGTGAGAAAGGAAACTCTTCTCCCAATTTCTCAAAAAAATTAAATAGTGAAAAGTTCAGGAGTAAATGCATGTAAAGGATACTCATTAAGTCATCCTTTTACGATCATGGCACCCATACGATCCCAAATAATAAGCTCTAAGCACTATATGCTAAATTATGCAAAGAAAAGAATCATATGTGTTTATATATAACCATGTAAATATCACCTCATCCTTACTTATCCAAAAATATATATCTTGGTACCTAGAATGACAGTTGTCGCAGACAATTCTTTTGTGAACTTCATTAGCCTAGCCGAATCAGTAGCTCTAGAGCCAATTGATGGCTTCTGTACTTCGATGGATGTGTGTTCTGAATTTGACGTTGATGATTTCGTCTGGCTAGCAGATGAGCTAGCATTCAGATTGCTTCTACTTTGCAGTTCATCCTAATAGTCAAGGAAAAGAGCTTAATTTATGCTGATGAATTTAAGCAATAGATATATCACATAACCACATACACTGGATATCAGCACTGCTCGTACCTCAAAAGATCCATCTGCCTGTTGGCTTGGTCCCGTCTCACTATCTCTTAGACTTCCATGATTATCTGGAGATCTTATAGTTGAGTTATCCAGTGGGTCTGACCTCCGTGTAATCAGTACTTTGCCAGGGAAACTGCGTCCCTTTAACAACCTGCACCACATCATAGTTTTTGTGATTATCAAAAGTTATAGAAAAAAAAAGGTGTTCTGAATGGAAAAGAATAAGACCAAGTAATCAACATCCTTGACTGTTAAAAAATATTTTTGATAACCAACATCCCTGACTGTTAAATACAAAACATTGTTATTCCAGATGGTTTTTTCTTTAATCAATAAGGATAATATTTCGCATGGTGCTTCTAGTTAAGAGTAAAAGTCGGCACATGCTAACCAAAGAAGTCACTATACTGGCACTGTCCAATAAAAGGACAACAATCAACAAACATGTGTACTGTAGTTCATATTCAGGCTATGTTTGGCTTTTGTCCTTAGCATTTCTTTTATATTCAAGGATGAAACAGCCCAACAATTCTAATGTCTAAATCCAACTATTAAAAAACTAAAGAGAAACAAAAAATAGAGAGATTGACTCTTGCAATGTATTACTGTACATTGAGACTATTAACTTCAAGAAACCCCAAGTCCATATTTCACACATCACTGCCACAACAAATAAGTAAAAGTAACAAGAGCTACTAGGGAGCTAGGAAGTTTGACAACCTAAATCCAAACTTTAACCTTTACAATCCACAAAAAATGAAAAAAAAAATAATCAATGCATTTCCCAAGGTAAAGACCAACAGACAAATCAAAAAAACAACACAGACTACTAGTGATCAAAGGTTCAAGTCTACCAGTATGTAAGGACGCCTCAGCTGCAAAAAAAAACATCTCCTCACCCAACTCCAGTTTGATCAAATAAAACCTAAGTTTGCTTAAAGTGTCGAAAATTTGAAACACTCCAAAAGACGACGAAATAGGATAGGCTTGGGAATCTAACTTTTATGTTTTTCTAGCATATCACCTTACAAAAAAAATGTATTGAGCTCTTCACTTCCTGTTGATATTTGTCCTAGTAGTAACACAAAAATTCATCAAACTGAACAAACATAGTACTCATAGAGGAAATATAACAAGCTTTAGAACCTAAAATTTCTCAACTTTAACTTCCATAAACTACCAAAACGTCATTAAAAGAGGGATACAATATTAAACACATCTCCAATCACAAATTCAGCATTGAGATCACAAAATTGACATACTCAGTCACTGATCATACCCTCCCCAAGTCCAATTGAGTTGAATTACCTCAAAATGGTACATATAAAAGTGCCGAAAATGGGAAATCTAAGTGATGGGTTTTAGAGAATTATATAGATCTGAATAAGAATAATGATTACCCTTGAACATTTCTGAGAGTTTGATTGAATCTTGAATCAACAGTAGCATTTCGATCTTCCTCTCTGTCGCTCCTCATGGTTTAACTCTAGGTTACCACACCATTGCTGCTCTCAAAAACTCTTCTCTTATTGCTTTCAATGGAAGTGATGATTATAGTACACCTGCAACTCAACAAAGGTACAACTTCTTTATGCGTTTTTTGCTCTCTCCAGTTTCCACTTCGGTCAGGAAAATGGACGCTACTTTGGCTTTTTATATTTTGGGTATATTTTGGGTAAAGGCAACTGTATATTTGTAGCAGTGTTTAAAATCGAACCGTAATTGATAAGTCAAGTGTAAAATTAATTTATTGACTTATTGATTTTGAGTTATTGAATAAACTAGGTAATTTGTCTGCGATTCATGCGGTTAGAAATAGTAATTGTATTGAACTTGCAAATAATCTTTTACTAATATTCATACATTAAAAATAATGGAAAAAATAGGTTTTTAAAAAATATTAGCAATATTCAACATGAATTTGATTATTTATCATTATCACATTACTCAAGAACATCTAATGAATGAATTATTCAAGAAATAATAAATCATTGGTTCTTTAATCAACATTAAAAGAAAAATAAAGAAGAAAATAAGAATATATATACAAGGACATTTAGTAAGAAAAGGAACACATTTAAGTTGCATAGATTATACAATTGTGATATATATCTCAAGGAAAAATTCAAAAAATTATTAACAAATTCAAAAAAGAAATTATGCTTGAACATGAAAGTAATTATAACTTTTGAACTTGCATAATGAATTTCTTCAATTGATAAGTGAGAAACTTCATATCTATGTAAAAATAGATGATATGTAAGCTTATATATAGTAGTTTTAAGTTTTAGAATTTTATATAGAATATCAAAACATGAATTCTTAGAACTGAGTACAATAATTATTTTTTGCACAATGAATATAATTACTATATGTGCATATGTTCAATATAACTATAGACAATAACTTTGCAAAAACATAAACAACAGAGTTTAAAACATGTACTCAAAAACAACAATTAATATCATAAGCATAAATTAATGATTGTAAAAAAATATATCAGGATATGTAAAAATAGAAAGGAAAAAATCGAGTTCACTGAATGTACATTGTTCCCTTAAGAAAATTATTCTCCTCTAATACTTGTGGTTTAAAGAATTAGATCGTCTCAGGATGGAACAATTTTATTCACCAATGTATTGATACAAAAACAATGGTGTCAGTAATCCACTCAATAGGAGCAAAGTACACAAATATTTAATTGTGCAAGGGAAGAAGAAGTTCAGAATTTTTGTTGTTTTAAAATGAGAGGAAATCCCTCTATTTATAGACAACAAATGGTAACATGAACAAATATTTATTGTGCCTTATCGGAAATGTCATAACTCTTTGGAAAAGTCACAACCCTTCGGAAAGGTCAAAACCTTTCATAAACGTCACAACCTTTCATAAAAGTTGCAACTCTTCATAAAAGTCACAACTATTCATAAAAGTCACAATTTTTCCTAAAAGTCACAACTTTTCATAAAAGTCACAACTTTTCATGAAAGGGAAAGGCTAGTTTTGGAAATAAATAAATTAAAAGGAAATCTTAGTTTGTGGTGGCGACACGTAGGCAGGCCTATGGTTCTCTTTTTTATATATATACTAGGTAATTTACCCGCGCTTCGCGCGGGCATAAATAATCTTTCTAAGCTTTTGAACAACCTTTCTAATAATCAATTGTTATAAGAAAAAAAAAGTAAATTTTTGTAGGTGTTTAAAACATTTCAACAGAAATTAAATGATTTGACATTATCACATATCTCAAGAATTGTAAATATATAATTAATCTTGATATCTAATCATTTTTATCTTTTACATAATTTATCATAATATATGTTTGATGATATAATTGCCTTGTTAAAATTAGTGATGTTATTATGTAGCAATTAAGCATCAACATTTCTATTTTTTTGTACATGAAAAATATAGAATCTGTTAGTTTTATGGTAAGAATAACTCCTTGTGAAAAAAAATTATGTGAAAGTTTTCTATAATCAATATTAGTATAATCAATATTAGTTATAAATAAGTTAAGACCGTTAAAAAATGTACACCACAACAACATAAATAAATTTTTTTAGAGACAATACTTGTCTGAGGTCAAACGTTCACCACTTTCGTTATTGTTACTTTGTTACTCTAACAAAATTTATAGAAGGAGAAAAATAAATTTGAAACAACAGCAAAATAATATTGTTGACCATTTTATAAATTCACTCTTCATTAAATTGATGCTCTGAAGGCCCTTCTAGATGCTTCATCAATGCAACTTTACGACTTTTTCAGAAATATGTATGTATAATTGTTGCATATGAAAGTACAAGTAGATCAAAATGTTGGATTCTAGACTCATGTTAAAGAAATATTCTCGAACATTAAAAAATTAAAAAGGAGTCTAACCTAGATAACTCGAACGCTCGGCAATGACTTGGGACATGAAGGACAATAAATCTATGTTAATAGACATATCTTTTGTAGTTTAAGATATTACTTTTATTAAAAGTAGGTTCTGTTTCTTATTCTTCAAATTAAGCTTGCCGAAAATAGTCATAACTCACACCAAAAATATTTAGAAGAGGCGAATGAGAAGGAAAAAAGAAAAACTTTAAAAGGGCGAAATTTTTTGTCCAAGTGAGATCATATAAGTACCAAACAAAAAATAATCAATGCAATTTTAAGGAAACAACAAAACAGCGAGAAAAAATATACATTAAAGGGAGTAAACTATGAGATATACAATGATGATAACAAATCATTCTAACCAGAAAAGTTCCTATGTTTTGAATTAACATATCTCAAAAAATTGACTAACACTTCCATCAACTTTCAATCCTTAAAGTACTCATAATATCCACCGATAAAATTTAGTAAAAATAGATAACAACAACATAAAAATAAAAAAATATGGGCATGCAAAGTTATTAACTCTCGGAGGATTTTCTAAAGAACACAAAATTGCATCCTTGTATGTGAAGGAATGACGTTGTTGATGAAGAAATCAGAGATTTGTAAGGGCATTTCTTATTGTACCTTCAACAATTTCAATAGAGAAAACTTGCTTGAATACTCAATTAACGTTTGTTATTTAATCTGTACTAACAAATGCTTATAACAATAATTTTGCATAAACATAAACAACAAATTTTAAGGCATGTACTCAAAAACAACAATTAATAATATAAGCATAAATTAATGACTGTAGAAAACATACTTGGATCTTCAAAAATTGAATGAAACAGAATGAAAAAATCGAGCACATTGAATATACAATGTCCCCTTAAGGAAATTATTCTCCTCTAGTACCCGATGTTTAAAGGAATATATCTTCTCAAGATAGAACGATTCTATTCACCAGTATATTGATACAAAAACAATGGTGTCAGTGAGTCATTCAACAAGAACAAAGTATACAAATATTAGATTGTCCAGAAGAAGAAGTTCAAAAATTTCGTTGTTTTAAAATGAGAGGAAAGTCCTCTATTTATAGACAACAAAGGGTAGTATGAACAAATGATATTGTGTCTTATAAGAAATGTTACAACTCTTTTTAAAAGTACAACCCTTCGGAAAGGTCACAACCTTTCATAAAAACCACAACTTTTCATAAAACTGGCAACTCTTCATAAAAATCACAATTTTTCATAAAAGTCATAACTTTTCGAAAGGTTAAAACTCTTTGGAAAAGTTACAACCCTTTGGAAAGGTCACAACCTTTCATAAAAGTCACAACTTTTCATAAAAGTGGCAACTCTTCATAAAAGTCGTAACTTTTCATAAAAGTCACAACTTTTCATGAAAGGGGAAGACTAGTTTTGAAAATAAAATAAATTAAAAGGGAATCCTAGTTTGTGGTGGCGTCACGTAGGTGGGCCTAGGGTTCTCTTTTATTTATATATATATATATATATGTGTGTGTGTGTGTGTGTGTGTGTGATATATGATTGTTGGATGAATTAAAATTTATAATTAATGGTAAATTAATAATCTCTATGATAATATTTTTATCCGAATCCGATTTGAGACAATGGAAAAAAATCACTAATTTCGATAAGATAATAAGAAAATTATATTCAGAAGACCCCTTTATAAATGTATGATTTACAAATATATCTAAGACAATTTAGTAAAATATGAGTTTTGTTTTTTGTTAAAAATTAAATCTAGTTGAAGCTCATCTCTAACTATTCTTATTGCATCCAAAAGTTTCAACATTGTCTTTTCAAACTGCACCATAAAATTGTTGAGTTCTAGATGCGTTAAGTGTTCCTATTAGACATTTTTCGACAATAAGTAAATAAAATAAAGTGTGTGTAATACACTTGCTGTGATGTGACAAAATGACAACTTTAAGGAGCCGCAGATGACTTAAGCTAATTTTTTTTATGTGAATTCAATAAATACGACGCATAATTTAGTAAGATACAAATTTTGATGTATTCATTGTACTTTATATATAATAAAAATATTTTTATGTGAATTTAATAAATATTATACATAAATTAGTAAGATATCATGATTTTGATGTAATCAAAATTGTCCTTTATTGAATCTCAAAACACTCTTTAAATTAATAAATATTAATTTATCGATTAAATAATATCTCTACAAAATAATAATAGTTGGGAAAAAGGTCTGAAATATATCCGAACTTTGACTGAAATTGTTGTAACAATACCGAATTTTGGAAAGGACCTTTTACCCCAACAAGGTATATATGTGCCCACGTGGATATCATAAATATTGCATCATTATTATAAATAATATTGTGTCCACGTGGACACATATATACCTTTAAAATACACTATAAAATAGTGCAGGAGATAAAAGATCTTCTATAAAGTTTGATATCATAACAACACTTTCGATCAAAGTTGAAAGTATTTTTCAAACCCATTTCTCATAATACTTCATAGTTTCACCTTTATTAATTTAGTGAGATTTTGTTGCATGATTAAAGAGAGAGAGAACTAGTGTATTTGAGTAAAATTATGTGTGC